CGCAATTTGTCATTCTTTCTAAGAAGTTAGGAATTAGAAGCCGTGATAGGACACTGAGGGAAGAGAAGTGGAGATAATAACTTTGGGAAATGGGTCAGTGGGTAAAATGTTACTGCCCACACCTGAGGACTGAGTATGACCCATAGTGTTCATGTATACATCTGGGTGCTATGATATGTACCTGTCATTCCTGTACTGGGGGAGCAGGGACATGGGGCTCAATAGAAAGTCAGCCTGGCTTAATCTGTGAGCTCCAGGTTTAATGAGAGTTCATTGCTCGCAAAGGAGGTAGAGCATGATGAAAGAAGATTTCTGTCATCAGCCTCTGACCTTCCTGTGTATAAGTACACATGTGTACTTACCCATAAATGCATGTGCGTGCGCGCGCGAGCGCACACACACACACACAAATGTATATACACATGCACACAAATTGTAAACGAGTGAAGATAGGATGGGTCAGGTAGAAGCTGGATGAGTGCTAGGGAGACATTTGCTGGTGGTGGTAGCTGAGTGTAAACTGATGCTGATGTTGGGAGCTTAGCATTTATGCTCAACACCAGTCCTAACTGTCCCTAATGACAGTGGGTGGCCTCTAGAGAGAAGACATGCCTCTTTTCCAAGGATTTTATAATACAGCATATTTTCTTTAAAGCACCTCATGTAGCACAATCGATGTTTGAGTTTCAAGGCATGAAAGTATTGATTGAGCCTGTAGGTTGTTGCCTTGGATAACCCTACTCACTAGTGGTGGTTAGTAGGCTGGGTGGTCCCAAGGAGTAGCCAAGCTGCAGGCGTCTCAGTCTCTCCTCCTTTGTGGTCTCTTGCCTGGTGCCCTTCCCTAGCTTGCTCTGTGGGTTCCTAATAGTAAAGGTGGGCTACAAGGCATCTTCTTGCTGAGTCTTACAGACTGAAGAGAATCAGAATGCCGTGAAGAAGTCCAGGGGGTGGCGACAGAGAATCTATCCCTTTCTAGGAAGGATTGCTAAACATTATAGACACTTTTTTCTCCCAGTCTATTTTAACCTAATCCCTTTCTTTCACCATTCCATTGGCACTTGGCCAGACATCTCCAATAGGAAGTGTCTAACTTGTTTTTAGTCAATACAATGACAGAATTCTTGACAAAGGCATCATAAGGGAGTAAGGTTTCATTTTGCCTTACAGTTTCAGGGTGCCGTATGGAGCAGAAGTCTTGTAACTGGTCACATTGTGTCCAGAGTCAGGAATCAGAGTGGCAAATACTGCTGCTCAGCACACTTTTGCCTTTTTTATTCAGTCCAGAATTCCAGCCTTCAGGATGATCTGCCCACGTTTAGAAAGAGTCTTTGTACCTCAATTAATTTTTATATAAAAGCTTCCTTCATAGACATTCCCCAGGCTTGTCTCCTAGGTGACTCTGAGTATTAACCATCACAGGAAAAGACATCATCCGGTGGCAGGGATCTGGAGTCAAGATGGGAAAGAAGGGGATACAGGACCATCTTAGTGCTTCCTAAGCAGGATGCTGAACTAGCTATAGCTCATTCCCTAGTCTCTGCCATCCCCTTGATGGTGGCAGAAACTTGTCCTGTTCTGAGTTGTTTACCCAATGCCCAGCCAAAGTCTTGAGTCACAGAATGAGTGAATATTTGTGTATAGCTCAAGAAAAAGTTGTGTGTGGGGTGTCTCAGGGGGCCCTTAAGAGGCTGGCTGAGCATGCTGTGTAGATAAGTGAAAAGTAGTTTTTCCTTCTTCTGTGTACGTGCCGGATGAGTGGGAGGTGCCTCGAGAGAAGATCACCCTCCTACGAGAGCTCGGGCAGGGATCCTTTGGTATGGTGTATGAGGGCAATGCCAAGGATATCATCAAGGGCGAGGCAGAGACCCGTGTTGCAGTGAAGACTGTCAATGAGTCAGCCAGTCTCCGAGAACGGATCGAGTTCCTCAACGAGGCATCAGTCATGAAGGGATTCACCTGCCATCATGTGGTGAGTCTGGCTGGGGAGGGACAGAGGTTTCCTTTCATGCTCTTTGTTAACTCTGCCTCCCACTCCCTAGATCCACCCAGGAAACTGGGTGTAGACTGATGCCTACCCTCACCCTCTTAAGCCTCACTTCCCTTCACCACTTCATCTTTTCCCAGCTTACCTAGAATCAATCTCTAACTGTTCTGTCACTTTCTAGGATCTTGCTTTGCTTTTCAGACTTTCCCATTGATATTTGTATTATTACATTTCTTTGCTATTCTTGCCTTCCCTATGAAAGGCCACCCCTTTGTGCCTTCTCCCATTCTTTCTTTTCCCTGAAGCCAAAATAAACCTTCCCTTTCTGTTCCCAGAGTGGGCTCTTTATTTATTGTTGAACCTTATGTTTATTTATTGTTATAAGGCATATTTAGGGTCCCCTTTTGTGTGACTTCTACTGCAGAGAGGTGAACAAAACTTACTCTGATAGGGTATTCATGACAAACCAAAGAAAGGATTTCATTAGAGCTCTAGCTGATGAACCAGTGAGTTTATTGTAGCTTGCAAGAGTGTAGGTTTACTTAGAGGAGCATGAACAATGTGCATCTCCATTGTTCTGCATCTCCAAAAAGCCCACCCTAGCATAAGTGATAACTCATGAAAACTGGAATTTCAGTTTTCCGCACAACTTGCAGGCACTAGAGAGATGGAGAATCTATTCTTTCTAAAGATTTTACTATTTATTTAACCTTGGAAAGAGGTGGTGGTGGCAGTCTTGTGAATCTTGTAAATTGTTAGGAACTTTCTTAGACTTGTGAATTGTTTACTTCCTAAGCCTTGTAAGATTTGTTTACTTCTTTAGTCTTAAGAAGCTTCCCTCCAGGATGAAATGCTTCAATTCAGAAAAAAAAATTGTTATGTATCTTCTTCTAAATACCCTGCTCTTGCTGATGTGGAAGCAAATTCCTGACCTCCCTCTTAGATGTCTGTAGCAGGGAAGAGAGTTCCCAAAATAGATATATGAACGGCATATTGGGAGAGTGGTTCTAGGAAAAACTGAAAAAGAGAAAGAGGATTGTGGAGTAAATTTGAGTAAAATCTTAAAGGATGTGAGACTGAACCATGTGTACATGAGAGGAGACAGGCCAAGGAGAACAGGAACTGCAAAGGTCTGGAGGTAAGAACATGGTTTATATACTGAGGAACATTAAGCGGGTAAGATTTGCTGGGATGTGCTATACATGAGTGGGTCTGTTTGCTTCCCCATACTAGGGCTGGCTGTGCTTCCAGGCATGGAGTGGCCTGTGTGCTATGGGCACTAGACAGAGAGTTCATGACAAGTTGAAATAATACTGGACCCTCTTTGAGTCACCTTCATGCTCTTTGAATCACTTCCATGCTTGTCCTGCAGGTTCGCCTCCTTGGGGTGGTGTCCAAAGGCCAGCCAACACTGGTCGTGATGGAATTGATGGCTCATGGAGACCTGAAGAGTCACCTCCGTTCCCTGCGCCCAGATGCCGAAGTGAGCTTCCTCTAGAAGGGCACCTGCTCTTAAGTGTACCTAGCCTGCTAAATACAAACCCATATTTTGACTTTGTTACCTTGGCTACTCTCCCCTTACCCTGCAAGAGATAATTTAGATGGAAGCAGAGAGCTAATTGCGACCCATGTTTTGACTTTAGAATAACCCAGGCCGTCCTCCCCCTACCTTGCAAGAGATGATTCAGATGACAGCAGAAATTGCTGATGGCATGGCATACTTGAATGCCAAGAAGTTTGTGCACCGGGACCTGGCAGCTCGAAACTGCATGGTTGCTCATGATTTTACCGTCAAAATTGGAGGTGTGTCTTGGAATCCTTCTGTGTGTGTGTGTGTGTGTGTGTGTGTGTGTGTGTGTGTGTGTATTCAGGGTGTGGGTAGAATGGCAGGTTCTGGGGTTCAGAACTCAGGTCCTCATGCTTGCCTGAAAAGTACTTTTACCCACTTCTAGGCACTTTCCTGGCCCAGAAGTCAACATTTCTGTTCTAGTTTCCTGCCTGTTTCTATCATAATTAAGTAAACTAACAAACAAACAAACAAATAAATAAATCTCCTTGGGGAGGAAAGAGTTTGTTTCAACTTGTCCATCACTCAAAGAAGTCAGGGCAGCAACCTGAAGCAGAAACCGTGGAAGAACGCTGGTTGGTGGTTTGCTTTGGCTCATCCTTAGCTAGCTTTCACAGATCGCCCAGGAGTCTCTGCCAAAGAAATGGTGCTGTACAGAGTGAACTGGACCCTCCTATATCAACTAACCATCAAGACAGGCCCCCATAGTCTTGCCCCAAGGCCAATCTGATCTAGGTGGTTCTTGAATGGAGGCTTTCCTCTCAGGTGACTCTAGCCTGTGTCCAGGTGACAGTTAGTACTTCCTAGTACAAGACCAAAGGTTGAGTCAGAGAATGTAGGAGACAGCAGAAGTAGATGCGAAGTGCCTTGATGTCTGCTTGGAGTGTGTGGATAGGATGGGAGGGCCCAGGACAGTGAGGTGTAAGGCTGAGCTCAAAGTCAAGAAGCAGGCATGCAAGCACTTCATAACTCATAGGACTTGCCTCTCCTCCACAACAACAGTGAGAATCAGGAAGAGGCAAGGTCCCATAAAGATCCCACAGACTCACCTTTCCACACACAAACATTAGTTATGGGAGCAGGTAGGGAGGTGCACTTATGTGTGATTCCAAGAGATATTCTTCTACATAACAACAGGAGTCATGCAGGAACGTGACCCAGTGATATCATCCTGCACGAACTATATGAAGGAAGATGGGACATGTGTTGTAAAAAGGCCTCTTGGTTATTCTGGCCAGTTGGCAGCTCAGACCTAAAATAACCACACAGAAACTGTATTAATTAAATCACTGCTTGGCCTATTATCTCTAGCTTCTTATTGGCTAGTTCTTACATATTAATTTAACCCATCTCCACTAATCTGTGTATTGCCACATGTCTGTGATTTACCAGGTAAAGTTCCATCCAGTGTCTACCTCCGGCAGGGCTACATGACTTCTTCCCTCTGACTCTGCCCTCTTTCTCCCAGCATTCAGCCTAGCTTTCCCACCTAACTAAGTTCTACTTGCTATAGACCAAGCCAGTTTCTTTATTAACCAATGGTATTCACAGCATTATGATCCTAAAGACCTTCCTACATTAATGAGAACCCACCCCCCAACCTAGTTGTGGTGGTGCATGTATTCTGACACTTGTGGAGGTAGAAACAGGAAGATCAGTAGCTCAATGTCATTCTCAGCAACATGACAAGCCCTAGGCTGTCCTAGAATATGTGAGACTGTCTCAGAAAAAGCAGCAAAAACAGTAGGAACAGGAAGGGGTATGATTCTATTCACATAGCTGCCCTTGTATAGTGGGATGTTGTCATGGTGGAGGATGCACAGAGGACAGATGGAGGTGAGCCTGGTTTGTGAAAAGGCAATGAGAAGTGAGATGCATTGGGAAGAAATTGTAGAAGCAGAAAGCCTTGGTTGCCCACTGTTTGGGGGTGTGAGCAAAAGGCAGGGTCAAAAGGGGACCCCCAGTTTATGGTTTTTGGGTGAGCAGCTGAGTCACGGTAGCAGCAGGTTGTTTAGAAAAAGGGAAAAGGTCTGTTCAGGACACTGGGGAAGGAGTAGGTGGGAAGGATAAATTGTTGAGAACTTCAGGCCAGACTGTTGGTTCTTTGTCTTTAGGAACCTCTTTTCCCCTTCCTTTACATGGTAGCCCCTATTCTCCATCCACAGCCTCAGGTACAGCTCCCTAACTTCTTCTTGGGGAATTTGCCTACCCTCTAGTGGTGTTGTGTGAGGTGGAAGACTCGATGCTAGGATGATGAACTGAAAAACGTGTGAACTGTTTGTTGTCAGACTTTGGAATGACGAGAGACATCTATGAGACAGATTACTATCGGAAAGGGGGCAAGGGCCTGCTGCCTGTACGGTGGATGTCACCTGAGTCCTTGAAGGATGGAGTCTTTACTGCTTCTTCTGATATGTGGTAAGTTATGCATACATGGGTAGATGTCTGTACTGGGTTTAAACTCCTGCAGGAGTCACATGATGGGGTCAGCAGGAGGTGGTAGAGGAAAGCCTGCCTTCCACATATTGAAATGAAGGTAGTTCTTTCTGGGTCCTTGTGCATTGATTGAGAATGATTTTAGAAGAATTATTTATGAATTATGACATAAATTGTTGCAGGTGTGTGTGCATGTGTGCACATGTGTGTGTGTGTATGTTCACATGTTGTAATGAGTCTTTATCTGTCCTGCCAGCCAGCTCCCAAATAATGACACAAAGACTTATTAATTATGAAAGCTCAATCTATAGCTTAGGCTTGTTCCTAACTAGCTCTTATAACTTATATTAACCCATTTATATTAATCTACATTCTATCACATGGCATTACCTCTCTTCTATCTTGCACATCCTGTTTTCTCTCCATGTCTCCTGGCTTCTCCTGCCTCTTGATTCCTCCTCCTCCTCTTTTCTTTCCTCAGAAATCCCTCCTATACTTCCTGCCTAGCTTTTGGCTGTTGTGCTCTTTATTAAACCAATCATAGCAATGTATCTTCATACAGTGTACAAATATCCCACAGCAGTGCACACAGGTTTCCATGTTTCCATTTGGAAAGCATGTGACAGCCTTGGGCATAGTTCCTTTTCAGGTGCCATCTACCTTGTTTGTTTTTTTTCTTCTCTCTCTCTCTCTCTCTCTCTCTCTCTCTCTCTCTCTCTCTCCTCCCTCCCTCCCTCCCCCCCTCTCTCTCTCTTTTTTTTTGAGACAGGTTTTTTTTTTAGCTTTGCAGCATATTCTGGAACTAGTTCTTTTTTTTTTTTTCTCCCCGAGGGAATGGGCAGTTTATTATGACTAAATTCAAGAGATGTTAAAGCATCCAACATGGATGTGCTTCATTGCTTGTCCAGGGTCTGGTTCAAAGCTTCTCACCCGGTAGAGACACAGTTTGTGTTGGTTCCCTCCTGACATTTCCCCTGTCTGAGTTACTGATAAAGAGTCTGGGCCTCACCTCAGGACTGGGCCACAGAGTCTGAGGAATCTGCGGTGGAGTGGTCTGGTACTGGAAGACATGGCCCCCTACATGACTGTCTCTCCATATGTGTCGCGTCTGTGGAGACCTGTTTGTGACATGCTCATCTTCTTGTAGAACTTGGAGGATGAACTCAGCTTCGGTGTGTCAGAGGCAGACTCTGTTTCTGACTTTCTCTGGGGGATGGAGAGGGAGGGGGAGAGGGAGTGGGGGGAGTGGGAGGGTGGTGGGAGGAGGGGCTGAAATGGAAACTTTTATAATTTAATAATAATAATAATAAAAAAAAAGAAACAAACATCACTGAGCATTTGGCACCTGGGCCATTGAATGCATAGCCACACGTGTTGTGACAAGAGGACATGACAGTCCATTTTAGTCTCCATCTCCGGCCTCTCTTTTCTCTGCCAGCATGCACGGTCATCAGCTACTTGACCTACATATGACATTTCTTGACATAGGGGACTCTGTTCCCAATATTTCAGATCAGAGTCAAGCTACCCACATGGAGCAGTTTGTCATAGGCCCCAGGAGACTCCAGGGCCACTGCAGACTGGGCGGCACCTGGTTTAAAGAACACACCATCACTTGACTTAGGTATACCTGGAACTAGTTCTTATAGGCCAGGCTGGCCTTTGCCTCCCAAGTGCTTGGATTAAAGGCGTGTACCCACACTGCCTGACTTCTACCTTGGTTTTTTAAACAGTGTCTCTCACTGACCTGTAATTTGCTAAATTGGCTAGGTTTGCTGTCCAGAGATCTCGGGATTCTCTGCTTCCCCTGTGCTGGGATTACAAGTGCTCACCACCACACCCAGCTTCCCCTTTACCCCATTTTCATATGTATGTGGTTGTTTATCTGTGTGTGCACACCAAGTATACATTCATGCATGTAGAGTTCTGAGGTTGATATTGGAAATTATCCTTGACTGCTCTTCTACTTTATTCACCAATGCAGGTGATCTCCTCTCTCTGCCTTCTGAGGCTGGAATCACAGCTAGTTTACAATGCCCACCTGGCATTTATATGATTTTCTGGAGTTTTGAACTTCTATCCTCAGACTTGTGGGGCAAACACATAAGTCACTGAGTCATCTCCCCAGCTAGCCCTGCTTTAAACAAAAGACACACACACACACAGCGAGAGAGCTAGATGTGTGTCTGTGTCTTTGTGTGTGTGTGTGTTCTGAAGAACATACCACAGCACATGTGTGGAAGTCAAAGGACAACTTATAGGAGTCACTTCTCACCTCCCACCATATGAGTCCTTGGGATCTAATTTGGGTCATTAGGCTTGGCAGCAAGAGTATTTGCCTACTGAGATATCTTGCTGGCCCATACATCAGTTCTTTACATGGGTTTTGGGCACTGAACTCAGGTACTCATACTTTGGTGGAAAGCACTTTGCCAACTGAGCTATTGCTTCAGTCTATCAATTGTTTTACTTGGCCAGCCAAGTTCTCTTAAGTCAAAAGAAGTATGAATGGATATGCTTGAGAGAGAGGGTGTATGTGTGTGTGTGTGTGTGTGTGTGTGTGTGTGTGTGTGTGTGTTTAGTTGACTTCTTTGTTAACTGCTCTCAATTGTCATTGGCAGGTCCTTTGGGGTGGTCCTTTGGGAAATCACTAGTCTGGCTGAGCAACCATACCAAGGCCTGTCTAACGAACAGGTGTTGAAATTTGTCATGGATGGAGGCTATCTGGATCCACCTGATAATTGTCCCGAGAGACTGTAAGTATAAAAAAGAGGTGGAGAGTGTGATGAGTCTATTCAAAAGGCTTTGTACTTTATATGTTTTCTGTCTGTATATCCCAGGTATATATGAGTGTGTTGGGTTTGTAGGCCTTAGGCTCACATGTATGTTTGTGTAGCATGCCTCTACTTATAGGCTTGTGTTTGCATATTGCATTTTGGATGCACACTTACATTTTCACATATGCCTACATATGTGCTTATGTCTGCATATATTTATGCCTCTTCATGTGTCATGCAGTCTACATGTATACATTTGCATATCAAGTCTGTTTTAAAGATTTATTTTTAATCTTAGGTATGTGGGTGTTTTCCTGCATATATGTACATAACTTAGATGTTTGGTGTCCAAGAACACTGGAAGAGGGTGTCAGATCCCCTGAACCTAGAGTTACAAGTAGCTGTGAACCAATACATGGGTGCTGGGAGCTAAACCTTGGTCATCTTCAAGAGGCATAAGTTCTCTTAACCACTGAGCCATCTCTTTAGCTCCTTAATTTTTTAAAAATGCTCCTGTGCATACCTGTTGTTCATACATATGTGGAGACCAGAGGGCAACCTTGGGCATCATTCACTCCTTTGAGACCTGGCCTTCCATTGGCGTTCCACTCATTTATTCAGCTAGGCTGGATGGGCAGCTGTAGAGTCCCCAGGATCCTCCTATCTCCACCTCCCCAGCACTGGGATTGTAAATGTGTATATTCTTTATGTAGATTCTGACAAACTAACTCAGGTTCTCAGGCTTGAGGGGCATGCACTTTACTGACTGAACCATCTCCCAACCTTGCATACCAAATCTTTATAACCATTTTGTGTTACTATCTGTATCTTTGTGTAGGTGCTTGCATTTGTCTTGTATTTGTATTTTTCTCTTCACATTCAAAATTTTCCAAACATTGCCCTTTCCTAATCAGACCAGTTTGTAACTGGTTGGGAACTGGGGGGGGGGGGTTTACCTGCCATGATTAGTTTTAATTATCAACTTGACACAATCTAGAATTGTCTGGGAGGAGAGTTGTCTAGGTAACATTGGCCTGTGGGCATGTCTGTAGGGGATTGTCTTGATTATGCTAATTGATGTCACCTACCATCCAACTGTTGGTGGCACCATTTCCTAGGCAGGGGAACTGACTGCATAAAGTGGAGAAAGCGAGCTGAGCCTGCGAGCACACATTCATTCTCTATGTGTCTTGACTGTGCATGTGATGTGACTAGCTGCTGTAAGTTCCTACTGCCTTCCTTCCCCACCTCTAATGGTCTGTAGCCTGGAATTGGGAGCTAAAATTAACCCTGCTTCCCTAGGCTTCTTTTATTGGGGCATTTTGTCATCATAACAAATGGAAAGGAGACTGAACCCCAGGGTAGAGGTCCACAGCCTTTCCCTAAAGGCTCTATTATAAATATCGACAGCACAATGGCTGTGCAGTTGTATCTTGAATACAGTCATTGGCATCGCGTAGATGCATGGATGAGACCCTGTTCGTTAGCTGTCACTGCTGGGAATATCTGAGAAGTTCAGCTTAAGGAGGAAAGACTTACTATGGCTCACAGTTTCAGTCTCTCTCCATGCTCACTTGACTCAACTACAAGGGTGATAGGATGAAAGTGGAACTGAGGCTGGAGGTAAAATGTACCCCTGAGATTCATACCTCCAATAACCCGCTTCCTCCTACAAGGCCCTTCCTCTTAGTGTTCCTCTTACTCCACTGATGGTTTCATCCATTGACTAGGTTAGTGCCTTCATGATCCAAACACTTCCCCAGAGCTATACCTAGAAACATGTTGCATCAACAGCTCAGTGTTTGGAGGGCATCTAAGAAACAGCATTATACCCTGTGACAATAAAACTTTATAGACACATGCGGGGGGCCAGATTTCATTCAAGGTCTGAAATTTGCTGTAGGTCAAGTTACGTGGGAGAAAGGAAAAGGTAAAAATACAAATGGAAGTTCTTGGTTCCTGTTCTTAATGTTTTAGACTGAGTAAAGTAGAAGCCTGGGGCTCTTGGGGAATCTGTAAGGATGAGGTATGAACTCTTGTATGATGTTAGGCACCAGTGGACCTCAGTCCTGTAAATACTGCAGAACCTACCAGGCTGTGTCTATGACTAAGGCCCCTCCTAACATTTTCTTTTGATATATGAGGAGCTGGCTCCCTGTGTTCAGTTCATATAGCTGTACCTGCCAGCGCTCAAGGATACCAGCCCTGAAGAGTCTTTAAGTCTAGAATGTGTGTTGGGTACAGGTAAGCCTCAGCAAGCAGTTCCAGACAGGAGTGAAACATACTGGTAACTCCTGAGACACAGGAGACTGGGAATGGGTAGGAGAATAAACGATGTACAATACAATATCTGTCCAATTCCTCACCTCTGTTACCATGGTAAAACCTGACCACAAGCAATTTAGGGGAGGAAGAACTTATTTGGATCACTAATGGAGAGGTCAAAGTAGGAAGCAGCTAGTCAGGTCACATCTGCAGTCAAGGGCAGAGAGAAATAAGTATGTGATCTTTCCTTGTTTGCTCTCGGCTTGCTTTCCACATTCTCGTGAAGTTTAGGAGCCCCTGCTAAGGGTGTAGTGTTATCCTCACAGATCCAGATCTTGCCTTGTCAGTTGACAATCAAGACAACCCCCACGGGCATGTTAGCATCCCAACCTAATTGAAACTTTCCTTACTTGGGACCCTTTCCCCGGTTGACAGCTTCTCAGCTCCACCATGTTATTTTCTCCTCCCCTCTCCCACCTCTGTCCTCTTCCCTCCCCATTCCTTCCATTTCCAATCTTTTCCTTTCCTTTCTATTTCCCATTCTCTTTTCCCTTTCCTCTGCCCTCTCTCTTCCTCCACTGAGCACTGTCCCTCTTTGTCCTTTTAATTTAGAGGCTTTGGTCTCACTAAGTTTCCCAGGCTGGTCTGAAAGTCACTCTAACTTGGCAGGCCTTGAATTTATAGCTGTCCTACCCTAGCCTCCCGAGTAGCTAGGATGACAGGCCTGCACTACCAAGTCTTGCCAGCTTGATTTTCACAGCCGTCTTCCAGCCTTGACTGCCATATGTGCAGCCGCAGCCGAGGCAAGGAGTCTACTACTTGGATGTGGTCTATAGTGGGGCAGAGTATGAGGGAGCTGCTTGGCTTGGCTGCATATTGAGGCTCATCCACCCTGGTTCTTGTTCCTGCAGCACTGACCTGATGCGCATGTGCTGGCAGTTCAACCCCAAGATGAGGCCAACCTTCCTGGAAATTGTCAACCTGCTGAAGGATGACCTCCACCCCAGCTTTCCAGAGGTTTCCTTCTTCTACAGCGAAGAGAACAAGGCTCCCGAGAGTGAGGAGCTGGAAATGGAATTCGAGGACATGGAAAATGTCCCCTTGGATCGGTCCTCTCACTGTCACAGGGAAGAGGCTGGGGGCCGGGAGGGAGGGTCCACTCTGAGCATCAAACGGACCTATGATGAACACATCCCATACACCCACATGAACGGGGGCAAGAAGAATGGGCGTGTACTCACCCTGCCCAGGTCAAACCCTTCCTAACAGTGCCTGCTGGGGAAGGACTCTTTCTTTCTATTTTAAAACTCTTCTCTAGTTTGACCGCCTCCAGGAAACTCAGGATTATCAGGACTCTACCCAGATGTGAAACTGAGCTCAGAGATAGTTCATACACGTTTCTGTTTGTCTTTTGACCTAAAAATACACATGTGTGATTGCCAACCCTGCAAGCCAGTGGAGGGCTAACTGTGAACCTAGAGGGGTTGGGCTTTCCACAGACACGTCCCCCTATCCCATCCACGGTTTCAAACCAGGATTTTGTTGTTGCTGTTGTTTTCCTCATAGATTGAAAGAATGCACCTGTTTTTACAGGCATTTCTCTTTTCTTGCTAGTGTCTGAGTTACAGTTAGTTGTCAAGGACAGAATTTATTTATGGAACACAAGAAAGAAAGCTAAGGAGAGACAGACAGAAAAAAAACAAAAAACCCAACTCACAACACCCTGTTCTAGAGTTACATGCTTTGCAGGGTTGGGTTTTGAGAAGATATTATTAATCTGAGAGAGGGGCTTTATTTTAGTTTTTTTTCTTTATTCACAAAATCAGTTCCTCAAATTGACCAATAGCTGCTGCTTTCATATTTTATTTTGGGGAAGGGTGTGTAGTCCTCTGTGTGTGCTCCTGTGCACACCTGTGTGTGTTTGTGTGCGTGTCATGTCCAGGCTAGAGATCACAGGGTGGGGTGGGGATTGTGTGTGTGTGTGTGTGTGTGTTAAACATTATCTGGACTGATGCTTGAGGAATTCATTGGCTCATGAAGCTCCTGCTGCTTGGAGTGGGTGACCTCACCTTATCCTTCCTTCTTAGGAACTCAGCGTCTGTGCCGTCTAGAGATGCTTCTCGGTCATTTCAGAAGTCTTGCTCAGGTGTCTTCTTTCCCTCCCTTTTGCAATGTTTTCCAAAAACTGAGGGAGGACCATTTGGTCTGGATTCATCAAGGGTGTTTGGAAGACCAAACAAAGCAAAGGACACACACACAAACACACACACCGGACAGAAGTAGAAAGAAGTCAGATGATAATTTTGAGAATATATTTGTAACATATTTAATGCTTAAGGAATCTCTGGCATGAGCCTAATAAGTTATTATTTCTTTGGGGGCAGAGGAAGTAGTGGGCACACCTGCTTGTGTGGGAAGACAGGAGGGAATGGCCTCTTGTGTTTGGTCTTTGAAGCACATGTTTTTCGGGAAATTATACCACATTAGCTGCTAGCCCTTTAGGACACTGTGAGGCCTTGTGGAGTATATGGGAAACTGGATTTTTGACTGATTCTTCTAGCAAGTTGGACTGGATGTTTCTTACTTGCATACACTGGTGATCCTGGAGCTGAGCTGGCCTTCCAGAACACCTGTGTTCATCTTTGGGATTTTTCTCTGCTTGTGTACCTCACCTCTTCAAGGCCTACTTGTTGCTCAGTCATTGTATAAACACAACAAACTCATCCCAAAGAGCAACGACACAGGAGGACTTTGAGAACACTAAGCAATATAAGGAGATGCCCCCTTGGAATAGCTGTTGGTCTCCTCCCCCGGGGGATGTTGGCTGTTCTCCACACTAAACTCCCACAGCTGCTCTTGGTGCCCAGGGACCTCAACTCGGGCAGGTGTGGTGCCTGAGTTTCTTTCTCAGGTGCTAATGTTTCAGTCCCTAGAGACTACAGTCTGGAGAAGACATCAGAGACTTTCTTCCCACCACCAAGAACTCCTGAAAGGATGTGAACCCACAGCTTCCTCTTTGCATAAAACTACAGCTGCTCAAGTAAAAGAAACAGCCATGGTGAACTCATGGATGGGGCTCAGAATCCTCCCACACATTCTTCCCTGCCTGTGTTTCCCCACAAATATCTGATACCTTTCTTCTCCTCTAAGAGATGTGAGATAAAGACACAGTGTCCACCCCCAAACCCTCTTAATTCTTGGTTGAAAACACAAGTAGACACAGACTCTGAGTGCCAGTTGCTGTCAAATTTATATTAAAAAAATTGACAGATGTAAAAATGTTACCAGGGAACTCAATGGTTGGTACAAGAAGAAAAAGTCACAGTTATTTTCACCCAAATCACTTTGTAACTAGAGGGTCTGTGCATCAGTGGAAGACATGTAGGTCTGATATTTGTTGTTTCTTTTTCCTTTTCACAGTAAATTTGTAGTGGTCAGATGCTACACTAGCAGGAATTTCCACATTTTTCTAATTCAAAAGGTTTTCTTATATTACTGGGGAAAGTATTTATTTTAATATATAAAATCACTCTTGAAAATCACTTTTGTAAAAAAATGGTGTGCATGTAAATTTTTTTTTATCAAGGAAAAAATAAAAACAGGTGAGTGTGGGTCATGTTTTTATTTCTCTCAGCACAGTCTACCTCAGTGTCTTGTTAGGATGAGGTTCAATCACAGGTGTTGAGGCTTTGGAATTCTGGCTGGATCGTGCTCTGAGTTGGGGAGCTGTGGACCAGCTGATTTCTGAATGCCACAAACTAGGAAGAACTTTGAGGGAGGGAGTTGGAATGAAGTTAGAACCTTCCTGTGAACCCGGATTCTTCTCTTTGCTGGTATCCTTCTGAGTGTAACCTTATACAGCTTTTTGGTGATGCAAACTCCTCACACAGAAGCCGTGCTTCAGTCCATCTTGATTTAGCCTCTCTGTGAGGTCCTCATGTTAAGGTCTTTTGGGGAGAGGTGATGAACTAACACCGACAGCTGTTGCACGAAATCCCCCAGACAATATGCAAAGGCACTTTGAGTTCTCTGGCCGTTATTTCTCTGCCCTTTTCAGACCCGTGAGGCCTTGGGTGTCTGAGGGCACCTCCTATACAACATGAGGGCGTTTGGGGGAAATCCTAATCCAAAACCCATCAGTTTCTTGAACATATTTTGAGCAATAAAATAGGAGCCCTATGCTGGGATTTGGTTGAATTCAAGCTGACACTGTTTGGCCTTGTGAAGTTTTGAGAAGTCTAGAAGTCAAGGCAGGGCCAGCATGGCCTCTGTTTTCAGGCTTCACATTTCTTTTTTTCATCTGAGGGCACATTCCTTAAAGTTCACTCTTCTCCATCTTCTCTGGAGAGGTGTACTAACTTGGGATGACCCTATCAAAAAAGACTTCACCAATTCCATTTTGATATCTAATGCTGCTGGGGAGGGAATAAGCAGCTGTTGGGTCATGAGACTCATTTTGGCTTCAGAAGATGTTAGCTTTGTAAGAAAAGAACCTTGGGACCTAGAAAATCATGGCTGTCCTGAGAGTTTGTAGTGATGGGTGAGAGGGGAACAAAAGAAAACCAGGTTACATCGACACTTCGCTGTGTGCTTTGGAAGATGTCTCATCATTTTAAAAGTCTTTTTATGGTCATGGTGAAAGCCGCCCAGTCATTTTTTCCAGGGTAATAGCAGATATTATTCTGTCTGGTTCAATGATAGCAAGCACACACCAGGAAATGTTCCTGTTCTCGGAGCCCTTCTAGATGCTTCCTGTCATTTGAAGCTAACTGGAAGGGAAGAGCACTGATGGTTTCCTGGAGTTAGGCTGAGCACAATTTGGGAGAATGTCGAAATGGGCAGGAAGAGCTGCATGTCTGTTTCTGTGGCAGTGATGTCACCAGTCCAAGCACAAGTCGCTCTTCTTATCTGACCAGGGCAGATAGTCTACCAGGCAGAGTGATTAATTATGGGGTTAAGGACTATAAATTTATTTGAAGTCCACCATGACACTGGCCAATGAGCAGTATCACTGTGCAAGTCTAGTTCATACTGGCAATCTTGGTAAATGAGTGGCTGTCATTCTACCAAAGGTTTTTCTAGTTCCTGATAGGTGAATGTGTTCTGGATACTAGCTGGTGAACTCATGAGAACATACAATCTTCAAAAATTATGATTTTTTTGAACATGGAAAAGAAAAATACTGATTTTGTACAAATGACACACATAGGGTAGAGCCATTTTAGAAAACCTTCCAGATTGTTCCTCAGAATATGAATTTACACAGGAGATGAGGTTGTGAAATAGGAATAAATGATTATCCCTTGCTGTTTAAACTTTTAAGAGACCATGACTGAAGGCATATTTATCTTCTGGTGGTCCTCAAGAAATAGAGATCAGTGAGTATTTGCGTTTACTTGATGCCAATCAAGGTTCAGAATCAGTCTCTGGTCAATTTTTTATCTATATGTGAGCCACTAAAACAGCAAAACAAAGCAAAACAAAACAAAAACTTGTTAAAAACTAGATCATAAACCTGGGACCCTTGTTATCATTTGAGAAGGAAGGACCCTAAAATATGTGTGTGTATGTGTGTGTCTGTCCGTCCATGCACATGTCCAGGAATGGCTTGTTTGGTCCTTATCCTTTGTATCAAAGTTGCTGCTCCTTGCCCCTTTATGTGCCTGGGTAGTTACACCCCATATATCAGCAGTGTGGGATCCAATGTGCCACAGTGCTATAGAAAACTCAGAAACTCAAAACCCACCCAAAACAGTGATGTTTTCTTACAAGAGCCAAGTAGCATCATGTACAGAATATGCCTTCTTTGTGAGGGGAGGGAAGGGACTGAAATTGTTCTGCATGTACAATACAGGCTAATTACTTGTTTATATTAAAATTTGGAATAAATTATCTGAGACTGTTTTTTATGTGGTATCCATGTTGTTCTGGGTGGAGTTGTGGCTTTGAAATTTATTAAGTGAAAACTTGGGAAATTGTGAGTTCTTTGTGTGTGTGTGTGTGTGTGTGTATTTATGCAGATACACATGTGTGTTAGTGCTTATGTGCAAGCATATGTGCAGAGGACAGCTTTAGATATTGTCTCTCAAGTGCTGTCCACCATTACTTTTGAGACAGGATTTTTCATAGCTGACCAGCCAATGAACTCCAGTGATCTGCCTGCTTCTGCCTCTAGTGCTGGGATTGTAAGCACATGCCACCATGGATGACTTTTTTATTGTTGGTTTTTGGACTTAAACATTTAAAGGGGGCTAACTGGTGCTAATAGCCATACTATAATGCAAAATGCATTTAGTACAACTTCAAAGGTTCCCATAGTCTTTCACAGTCTCAAGACTCTCTGAAAGTCAAAAGTCTCTTCTGAGACTCATGGCAGTCTCTTAGCTGTAATCCCCTATAAAATCAAAATCAAATATACAATGGCACAGGATATACATTACCATTCCCAAAAAGGAAGAAAGGTAGGATAGTGAGGAAATATTGGATCAAAACAAGACCAAAACCCATCTGGGCAAACTTTAAACTCTGCATCTGCATGTCTCATGTCAAAGTGCTCTTTATATCTCCACCTTCTTTCTGCTTTGTTTACTGCAGCATACTTTTCTCTCTTGGGTTGGTTCCACTTCCAATCTGAAGCTTCCCTTGGCAGGTATGTCATGACTCTGGCATCTCCAACATCTTGGAGTCTCCCATACAATCCAGGTTTCACCTTTACAGCTTCATGAAGTGGCCTCTTTGGGCCTCCATGAAGGGATACCCCAATACACACCTGGCTTCAGCAGCTTTCCTTAACTGTAGAGGGAGATCCCACAACCCATTTCTTGTATTCTCTTGTGACTCTAAAGTCAGAACCAAGTAGCTGAAGCTGCCAAATTTTGCTTTTTGCTGGGCCTGGAACTTGGTTGTCTTCTTCAGTTATGTCTTAAAGCTTTCTGGTTTTCATGGTTTCTTCATTGCTTAAGATTTCCTTTAATTCCTTTTCACAAGTTGGAAGCTTAGGTTGGTGGAGTCTTGCCCTGAGGTCACCACTCCCTTATTCCATTTATCAGCAGGCTTTTCTTTAAACCGTTTTTTTAAATCTCTTTGAGCACTAGATTCATCCCATGACATTTCCTTGTGTTCTTTAACTCTTCAAAACTATATATTTTGCATTTTTCCTTGCTCAGCTTGCACCTCTTTATTATAGATCTGTTTAAGACTGGTCGTTAATTACCACACAACATATCTTGGAAAAGCAGCGCAGACTGTCTTGAAATCTCCTCTGCCAAGGCCATTAGTTCAAAAACTCTTCAATTTAGCTTCAGACAGATTTTTAGGACAAGGGCAAAAAGAAGCCTCATCCTTTGCCAAAACATCACAAGAATGGTCTCTAAGCCTCTTAACCTCTGGAACTTTTTTTGAGCTGGGCTTTCACAGTTCAAATCACCTTGAGCACTGTCTTCCATGCTCCCACTTCCATGTTCCCATGTGTAATATGAGGGCCAGCTTGTTAGTGTTTTCTGTCCTGTCCAGTTCCCCACAGCCAATTTGTTCCAAAGAAAATAACACAGAGGACTCCATAAGTTATAAAGCTGATTGTCCTATAAGGTCAGGTTACTTATTAGCTAGTTCTCACATCTTGATTAACCCATTTTTCTGGTCTATGTTATTCATATGGGTCAGTATCTTTCTCAGTGGGGCAGATCACATCCTGCTGCTTCAGAGATTTGGGAAGGAGTGGGAGGAATCAACTTCCTCCTTCCCAGAATTCTCCTGCTCTTCTTGTATCATTTCCACTTCCTGTCTGGTTTTCCTGCCTACACCTCCTGCCTGGCCAATCAGCATCTATTTAAAACATGATTGACAGAATACAAACAATTCTCCCACACCACTTCCCCCTCTTTTTTAAAACAAAACAAACAAAACAAAAAACAAAGGAATATCCATAGTCCATTTTTGGGGAATGTGTGCATAGTATTCCAGGCTACTTCCAGCTGGTAGGGGGTGCTGATAATCTTGTGGGGACCTAAAAAAGATTTAGAGTTATGATCAAGTCCTGACTGAAGTATCCTGTGAGTCTTGATAATCTCAGGCAGCAGTCTTGAACCTGTTCTGGATGAAGAACTCAGAGATCTGGGCCATCTATTCCTGCTGGAGATTTCTCAGGTGGTCTCCCTTGGTCAAATTGGGTTTTTCTTAACTCAGAATAAATCCAGAGCCTCTCATTTTCTGTGGAAACAAAAGCAAAATCTCTTCTCCAAAGTAACATACTCTTTGACTTCAATTTTGAAGCCAAGGTATTTTCAAAATACCTATCTTGGATTAATTCTGCAGCATTTATAAGCAAATGTCTTTTAGCATCTGTTGCTCCTTCCTCAGCATTTAAATAATTCAAAGAGAGCATAATAGCATACAGTATCAAAATTCTCTGTGTATTTTCCATCTTTACGTGGCTTTATTTTAACCTCTATTTCTTTTATTTTTACTTTTAACTTTTGGCTTTTTGAGACAGGTTCTCTGCATATCTTTGTCCTGGAACTCCCTCTGTAGACCAGGCTATCCTTGAACTCCCAGAGATCCATGGTGGTGACATTGTATCCTGCCCTTGTATCTTCTCACCCGGTTCATCAGTTCCAATAATTTTTTTCTTTTTTTTCCTTGTATTTATTTATAAGAATTTCTACTTCCTCCCCTCATCCCAATACCCTCCCACTCCCCCACTCCCTTTCCTCCTCCCTTTCCAGTCCCAAGAGCAGTCAGGGTTACCTGCCCTGTGGGAAGTCCAAGTTCCTCCCCCCCTCCCTACAGGCCCAGGAAGGAGAGCATCCAAACAGACCAGGATCCCAAAAAGCCAGTACATGCTGACAAAACAAGACCCAGTGTCATTGTCAATGGCTTCTCAGTCAGCCCCCATGTCAGCCACATTCAGAGAATCCGGTTTGATCACATGCTCGTTCAGTCCCAGTCCAGCAGGTCTTGGTGAGCTCTCATTCGATCAGTCCCCTTGTATCAGTGGGTGAATGCACCCTTCGCGGTCCTGACTTCCTTTTTCATGTTCTCCCTCCTTCTGCTCTTCATTTGGCCCTTGGGGGCTCAGTCCAGTGCTCCAATGTGGGTCTCCATCTCAATCTCCATCCATCGTCGGATGAAGGTTCCCTCTGGTTCTGCCTTCCTTCCTCACGTTCTCCCTCCCTCTGCTTCTCATTTGGACCTAGGGAGTTAAGTCCAGTGTTCCAATATGTGTCTCTGTCTCTATCTCCATCCATCGCCAGATGAAGGTTCTATGATGACATGCAAAATATTCATCAGTATGGTTGTGGGCCAAGGCCGGTTCAGGCACCCTCTCCTCTGTCCAGAGAACAATCTGGGGATCTCTCCTTGGACCTGGGATCCCCTTTATACTCAAGTCTCTTGTAAACCCTAAAATGACTCCCTTAGTTGAGGTATATACTTCCCTGATCCCATATCCATCCTTCCTCCCCTCCCCCCATCCCAGTCCCCCGATCTTTCCCCATTCCTCCCCTACTCCCTTCTCTCTAACCCTCTCCCCTTCCAACCGCCCCCCACCCCCCCATGCACCCGAAGTTACCTGGCACTCTTGTCTATTTCCAATCTCCAGAAGGATAGCTACATGATTTTCATCAGGTTCACCTTCTTATTTAGCTTCTCTAGGATCACGAATAATAGGCTCAAAGACCTTTAATTATGGTTAGAATCCACTTATGAGTGAATACATACCATATTCCTCTTTTTGGGTCTGGCTTACCTCACTCAGTAAAGCGTTTTCTATTTCCATCCATTTGTTTCTTTTGACCAATGAGCCTATTTCCTCAATAGTATCTTCAGCGCCTGAGATTCCTTCTTCTGTCTCTTGTATTCTGTTGTCTCTGTAGTTCCTGTTTATTTATTCAGATTTTCTATATCCTCATTTAACCCAGTTTGTGTTTCTTTTTATTACCTCTATTTCAGTCTTCAAGTCTTTAACTGTTTTCTTCACCTGTTTAATTTTTTTCTTGGTTCTCTTGGGGGTTTTTTTTGAGGGCATTATTAATTTCTTCCAATTTTTTGTTTGTCTTCTCTTCCAGTTCTTTAAGGAAGTTTTTCACTTCCTCTTTAAACGTCTCCATCATTTTTATAAAGTTACATATAGATTCGTTTTCTTCTACTTCTGGGTTAGTATGACCAAGTCTTCCTGTTGTGTGACCATTGGGTTCTGATGTAACCATGTTGCTTTTTAAATTGTTGGAGGAATTCTTACGTTGGTGCCTACACATCTCTTCCATCAAATGAGGCCAGCAGTGTATTTTCATCTGGGTCTAATCATTGCTGTGTCTGTCTGAGTATTTGGAAGTTTTTCTTGTTCTCTTCTGTACTTTCAGTGTCTGTCTCATAAAGCCTCTGAGGTCTCTATATACCTGCTCTCTTGGTCTTCTCTTCTGTTTTGCTGTCTTGGTGCTTCCTCCTAATCCCCTTAGTGTTGTAGCATGCTCTTGGTCCCCTTAGTAATTTAGGAAGCTCTCAGCTCTTAGGCAGGATGTGGTTAGTAGCTTGAGGGTTCCAGTAGATGAGTTTTGGTTTTCAGGGAGCCTAGATGCAAAAACTCCCTGCTGGCTCGCTAGAAAAGCCAAGAAAGTTGGGGTTCCAGTTTTGATTTATAAGACTATAGGCAATCATCCCTAAAACCCTAGGTTCTTCATAAACTTTATTCATCATAGTATGATTCTTTTGCCAAATTTTATAGTCAGGTAAAAAAAAACAATTTCTGCATTTTCCTTCAATTTCCCCATTTTGTTGATCAGTCAGGTTTTCCCCCATAACTTGCTTTACAACTTCAATGCCTGCCCTCTCTATCTTCTATCTTCTTATAAAAGGAAGACTCATATTATCATACAGCACATCCATATTTTCAAAAGTCACTGGTGTGG